TGGATGGATGGATGGATGGATGGATGGATGGATGGATGGATTTCTATTGCTGCAACATCCTCATTACACTTTTCAGCCCTCCCTTATTATGCACCTAAAATAACTATGAACTGGATATTGTATTTCTGCAGCACATCACGTTTCCCTGATCCCCTCCCCAGGGGAGAATAACAAAGACTTGTAATGCACATGCACTTCATTCTTGTGGATCTATACCTTTTTATTTTTGGGTTACTAGTAATTGGGCACACTACTTATTCTGGGATTATTGCTGGTGGTCCTTTATGAAAATGTTATACTGTGGATGCTCCAACGTTCAATAAACTATTTAATTTAATTCTGAGTCTAGCAAAACATATAAACTAAGATGCTGATTTTTTTTTATTTCCTCTTTTGCTTATTCCTTTCTGTCAACCCCAAACTATTTTCTTTTTTCATCGTGTTGTCTTTATTCCCACACACTCCCACCCATCCCGCTTCATTTTCATGCACCGTCTGCTCTTGTTTCCCCGCTCCCCATCGCTTCCCTCCATCCATCTCTTTTACCTCTCTGCTCTCCTGTCAGGCCCACGTCTCATCTTTACTGCCGTCCTGTAGCTGATCTGTGATTTTGCCCTCCCTACACACTGTGTTCCACTCTGCGGTCCCGTTTATATCATGAATCACACTTTTCGGATGATTCTATTACATGCCTGCAAGCTGCTAGATAATTCAATCAGCACCAGTGAGATGACACACAGTTATAATCTACTTAATGAAGCCGCTGTACTGATGAAGTGTGCCCTGTCTTCTTTTCTTTCTCCTCTCCTGTTCCCTTCCTCTTCCTCGTCCTTGTTTGCAGGGTGTTGATGGAGAGCCATTCGAATGACAGCCGGGACAGTGGTCATCACTGGTGGAATTCTTGCTACGGTCATATTACTCCTTATCATCGCAGTATTGTGCTACTGTAGGCTGCAGGTGAGGCTGAGTTACACGCTTTAGTCATAAATGGGTAGGGAAATAATAATTCAGAGCAGCTTTAATCTGGGAAATGGTTCCTGGGACTCCATTGAGAGCTACACTTTTGCAAGTGTAGCTCTCAATGCTGCATGGATTGTTTACTTTAAAGGTTACAGTATTTAAATTTAAATAGTTTACTTAAGGAGAAAGACTGGGAGTAACAGGAGTGTGATTGCAGCCTGGCACGTCTTGACCTTAGACTACCGTATCCCTACTTCACGGTTTTTCCCTTATCGCGGGTGGGCGTGGTCCCAAACACCCGCGACAAACGAGGCACCACTGTATTTTGTTTTATTTTATTTTATTTTTTGACTTTATGTCATGGTTATTATTTTGCTTTACCAGCTATGGGTTTTTTTTTGTAATCAGACATGTAGGTGATAAACAAATAGATAGCTTTATTGCCTGGAGTACAGCAAAACTAAAACATGACTTCAACACGGCTCCAAATAATACATAAATAAATAATAATATAATAATAAACATAATTTAAAAAAATATCATGAATAATTTAAAAAATATATATTCCTAAAATGCATTCCCACACAACAACAAATAAAAGTGATGCAGTCTGTTTTGTGGTGTTTAAAACAGCTGTTGTAGAGGGGGGATAAAAAAAATTCTCGTAAATGTTTTTTCATGCCGGTGGTGTTTCTGTAATGTCTGCCTGATTTTAGACTGAAATAAACCTGAACTTTTCTCTGCTGTCAGAGTTTGAACTTACAGAACCACACCCTGAAAGCCAAATGTAGTTGTTTTACCAGCATGCAAGGTTGTTTATCACTTGCTTTTGTTTACGGACAGTTAAGGGTTACATACAAAAAAGATATTGCTGTGTGTAGACAATATATGCTATATACACAAAACAAGAAAAAATCCTGAAAGTCCGTCAGTTCTGCCGGAATGAATGTTTTTACACCAGTTAAGTAGCAACAGATCAGCCACAACAGTTAGTAATATACAAGAACAAACACAATGAGACTTTCTTTGACCATGTTTGAAAGATGATGTGATTTACTGTATGACAGATGTTTCTATCCAATCAACAGAGTGGCTCTATATAAAATGTGTAACCCTCTCCTTTGATAATCACCATCAAATCATATGAAAGGAACAGGGACTGATGAGCATTAAAATGTTTTGGTAATAAGCATATATTTGCTCAAAGGCCAAATTGTGTGTCTTTTAATTCCTACTCCTAAACAATCAAGCAAAGAGTAAGGTGGTAGTAACACTTTTCTTTGTGAACATTTACAGGTTAATGTGTTCCTTTCTTCCTTCCAACCTCTGTATAAATTGTTCTGGGTCGTTACAAAAGTCTCGATATGTGACATTTCCACAAAGTGATCATCAAAGTCGGTGACTGTCGCACATTGAATACCAAGAACAAAGCATTCTTTACGTAGAAGATGAGCAGTTTTACAGCTGTTTTAGAAACCTACGCATTGTTGCACAAAAAAAGTAATTATTTAGGAAAATAGTCTTTTTTTTTCAGATTCAGGAACCTTTTCGGTGTTGTACTATGTTGGAGGTTTTTTTTAATGTCTGAGTCTTTTTTTTGTTCAACGGGTCTAATCACACATTTTTTTATGCATGATTTGGCTGCAGCGGTAACTAAAAAGCCATAAATGACGCTCACACTGAGCATTATGATTTTCTCAAAACCAAATGAAAATCAAACTGAATACTTTTCAGTATAAAAAGAAGAAACTGTCAAATATACTGACAGAATTGGCAGCAACAGTGAGGTTTGACTTCAGCAAACTGAGGATTAACAAGGTTTATCTCATTTGACGGTTTATTTCATGACAATTCATAGCAATTTGACACGTCCCTAAAAAACTGATGTACCATATTTTTCGGACTATAAGGCGCACCGGATTATAAGGCGCATTAAGCAAAACTAACACATTTGACAGATTTTTGAGCGCCGTGCACCACATAAAATCGGTTTGAGGTCAGTAAGCACAAGCAGAATTAATACATAAGGTGCATCGTATTGTATCATAAGGCTCACTGTTGATTTTTGAGAAAATTAAAGGATTTTAGGTGCACCTTATAGTCCGAAAAACACGGTAAAATGAGTTGGGCATCCTCCAAATGTTTGTCATGGCAATCCAAGGAACAAAATAAACTGTACAGTTGGCACATAAAAAATAGTAAGAATTAAGAGCCAAAGATGAAGCGATGAGAGTGAGACTTGATTAGGTCTGACTGTGGTGAAGATAAAATGAATGTTTTATCCAATTATAAGCACTTTAGCTTTTCTGGGTCTACAATTTGAACCCATTTACAAAAAACTTGATGTGTAGCCCACCGTTTATCTAGGTCTTAAGCTGAATGACTCAGTTCACTTCTATTGAGGAAGTGTTTGAAAGTTAGCATATATATTTCTGTTAGTCTGACCAGTTTTATGTGAGAATAAAATCAAAAATGGAACTCATATAGGGTGAAATTACCTGCTTTGTGTTTTCATGCTTAAAAACTCCTCTTGGGTTACATTAAAACAAACACACCGGACTGTTTCTGCAGATATTAACACGTCCAATTGCTTCAGTCTCGGTTATCCCAAAGTAATCCCCTGAAATGATTTCTCTTCTTGCAGGAAAGCATTTCTAATGTATTTTGACAAATAAGTGCAACAAGTTAATTCCGAAATTGCAGCTGCTATTTTTAGAATTATTCTGACTTCATTCTCCGGCAGAGTTGTTAGGGAGATTAAACTATTTCACATGCCTCATTAAATAGAATTACAGGGGAAATTGTGCTTAATTTGGCGAAGCACAAACACTTGAACAGAGGCAGGTAGAAAACTGTGCTTTCTATCAGATAGACTGTTTAGATTCACTAATCAACTTTGTTTTGAGGTTTTACCTTCAGAGTGCTGAGAACACACACACAACTGAAAATTTATATTTAGAATTAAAGGGATAGTCAGGACATTTTTAAGTGATGTTCTATCAAATAGCTATAATAATAGTATCTTATTAGAATCGGAATGAGAATAAGCTTTATCATCATTGTACCGAGATACAGCGAGAACATTATTAGCGTCTTACTTTACGTTTTTCCCCTCCACAGTATTATTGCTGTAAGAAGGAGGAGTCTGAGTCGGAGGAGGAGGAGCCGGACTTCGCTGTCACGTCCCGCCTCCCGCCGGTTCACTCCAATCACAACATCGTGGCGGCGACGGCGGCGGCGGCTGCCTCCTCCATGCCAAATGGACCTGCCATTTTCTCGACGCCGCCACTGGCGAGAAAACTGACACGTTCGCAGACCTTCTGTCCGTCCTGCACGCACTACGACCTGCCTTTCTACCTTCAGCCACCTCCGCCGCAGGTCCACCACCAACCGGACGGTCTGAGGAATGGAGGAGAGCGAATCAGCTACCGCAGCGTCCAGCAGCAGGATCTGGAGCTGCCGGTGCCTGTGAACATTTCAAACTACCGTAAACCGAACCTGGCGCGGTCGGTTACCATGAGGGAGATGTTCACACGCAGCTGTAGCATCAGCACTGATGTTTAGCTGATTTAAAGCGAAGCTCATGTCGTTTTCTTTTGAAAGCTGAGAAGGCCAAAGCTGGACTGATTCAGACTGTGTTTGTGTCAGCTGGACCAGCTCTGGTCTCATTTAGGCCTCACCTGCAGATTGAAGGACCCAGATGGCTCTCAGGACAGTTTTCAAAGTTTTACGCTCAGGTTGATGATGTTACACTTGGGCCAATATAAAGGTATTTAAAAGTGTTTCAGTATGTCAAATAAGATTAAAACAATGTTTTTATTTTCTGTTAATCAAAAAAAGGCATTTATTTTACGATTTGGTGAAGTCTGTGCAGCCCCACTTCCTCTGGATGTTGCAGCCGCCAGACTTGGATGACACTGCAATGTCAAAATAACATCCGTAGGAGGGATTCCTCTCTTTCACAGCTGCTACAGAGAAAACATGATCAGGAGAAGTCTCCATCTATTACGATGAGATGGTCGGCTTGTTCCTCCGTCAACAGATTATGAAGATGATGAAAAATTATTTATGACAAATGGAGAGGAGAAAGGTTTTCTCATGGTTAAGCTGCCATCAGCAGAGCTTTTTGTACAACCCAGTTTCATTAAAATAATGAACTTTGTGTACATGGAACAAAAACAAAATGCACTGATTTGCATATTCACCACGAAACACTGTAAACATCAAACGTTGAAACTAAGAAACCAACAGTTTTATTTATTTTTATGTAATTTTTTATTTTATAGCATCTCAACAGTTTAGACAGGGGCAACAAACAACAACAGCTAAAGTAGCATTTTGTAACTACCGCTATGTTAATTGACAGTAGGTCCGTAAGAGAACTAGGAATAAAAAGAGCATTATCAAAAGGCTTAATCCCTCAGAAGTAAAGATATAAACACATTACATACAGTATGCATTTGACGTCAAGACGTTGAGATTTGTCTATGAGCACTTTCAGACAGGCCACAGTCCTGATGTTGTTGTTCAGCCAGCAGCTCCTGCACAGATGTTCGCAGAGTGAGGGTGGGGGTGCAATAAACGACATTTTGTCCCTAGTTACCCACGTCTCAGGAGAAATTTGATCATCGGCTCGTATCCGAGGCCAAACAGGGGATTCAGATTCAGATAAGCCACAATTGTTGATTTTCTTCAGGCAGACTGTTTTTTTCTTGTCAGCCTTGAGTCCTGCTGGAACTTTCCCAGTCCAAACGTTGAAAGTCCAGCTCAATAGATCCATAATAGTATTTTTCATTCGGGAGATGTGGACCAGGAGCTCCAAACACACAGAGAGCAAAGCAGGAGGGAGAGGAGAATGTGTCCGCCTTGAGCGAGAGCCAGAGGAAAGAAAATAAAAAAAGACTTCCACAAATTGTCTGTAAACACAGTTCACTGTGCCATCCACAAATGCTGGTTAAACTATCATGTAAAGAAGAAACCACATATGAACGCGGTCCAGAAACGCTGCCATCTTCTCTGGACCAAAGCTCATTTAAAATGAACTCAAAGTGGAAAACTGTTTTGTGGTCAGATTTATTTATTTATTGTTAATAACTAAGGACCCCACATCCTCTGTACTAAAGAAGAGAAGAACTATCTGGCCTTTTATAAGCGCAGTTCAAAAGCCTGCCTCTCTGACGGTATGGGGGTGCATTTGTGCCTATGGCATGAGCAGCTTAAGTAACTAGAAAGGCACCATCAATGCAGAAAAGTATTTACAAGTTTTGGAACAAATGTGCTCCAGTCGACCAATAAATTCAGCAACTGTTGAAAAGCTACCAACACCAACTAGGAACTATTGTTGCTAGCTTAAAATCGCTACCATCAAATTCAAAATTACTTTTTATTAAGTAAAATGTATTAGTTTTAACATTAAATATGTTTACTATGTCCCACTATTAATAAATTATAGGTTTATGAAATTTGCAAATCACTGCATTCTCTGTTTTATATTTTACACGACTTCTCAATTTTTTTTGAAATCAGGGTTGTAGTTTGAATTTTGGCCAAAAAAATAATAATAATAATCACAAGACATCAAGGGCTCATGGAAGATTTAAAGTCCTTTTTTACTTTCCACACCCTCTCTGGTCTCATGTTTGATGGGAGAGTATTTTCACTCTGAATATTGCAGTGTTTGCTCTGCTCTCCAGAACTAATAAAACATCTGTGTTCTTGCAGACAGGATGGCAAAAAGCGCAGAAACGAACTGTTTGTGTGTGTTAGCTGTGCGTGAGTGCATGCATGTGAGCTTGTAACGTGGTAAAATGTCAAGCCAGAGATTTTATTTGTTACAATTTATCACAATCTGCCATTTTAATGAGAATAAACCCAGCGCAAAGCAATAACACTTAAAACATTTGTTGAAAATGAGCTGTAGCAACCCACATGTGCAGCTTTACTCTAAATTTAAGAGAATGCAAAGAGAAACACAAGCAGACACTTTATTCTGCATATTTATCTTTACTGATACAGCTAAAGCTGGAGGAGTAGTCATCACTTATAACTTTCGGTGTCAATTTCGCTACAGTTCTTCACTGAATTTTGAGTTTGTGGACTTCTCTGTAATTCTTGTGGCAGGTTGATATCCAGATTCTTTGGTTGAAGACTCGCCTTTAAAGGTACATGTATAAATATTTAACAGACCAAGTTGTACGCTTCGGTCTCTTTCCTCCCTCTCAACTCGTTGGACTGATGAAAATGAGCTTTGAGGTTTTCAGAGAGCTCCTTCTCCGTACTGGCTTTTATTTTCTGCATATTGGCTGATCTGGTCTGCCTGGAGGGCCTGATATTCTGACTGGAGCAGCAGTGGCTTAGTTTTATTTTCAAATAGTCAATGACTGAAAAAATTTACTGCTTGATTTCAAAAGAGACGGCACCGGTGGATGCGAGGGGCTTTTAAGCTGACTTGAATGTCCTTTTTGGACTCCTAGCCTCACCGTCTTTTCCAATTTACAGTAGACGCTGGTGTACTCTGCTCTATTTTTGTCTCTTTGTAGACATGCAATTTTTTTTCAGCAATCATCTTCATTTCTTTTACTAAAAAGGTGAAACAGTACTTCTGTGCTAGATTACAAGTATCGTATTTTCCGGCGTATAAGTCAGTTTCTTTGCAAAGATTTGTCAGTCCTGCGACTTATACACCGAAGCAACTTATATACTTTTTTTTTTTCCATATTCACAACGCAATTTTTGACTGACGCTTTAAATTTTTAAGAACTGCAACAGTGTGCGCACTTGCTTCACCCAGCTGGTGCAGGTGGAAGAACGCTGGAGAGCTAGCGGCTCCAGTCGCGATGGATGGATGGATGGATGGATGGATGGATGGATGGATGGATGGACGGACGGACGGACGGACGGACGGACGGACGGACGGACGGACGGCGCCACGCTGCCCATGCGAAATGAAGCTGTTTTGATTATTAAATGAATGCATAATAAACGTGACGGGTCAGTGAGTTATACGTGTTTTTTTCCCTCTTCCTGATGTTTTTTTTTTTTTTTTGATTGATGCAATTTATGCTCTGGAATATATGCCGGAAAATACGGTACTCAAGGCATCAACACACACACAGTTTCGTTAATCTAAAATTGAAAAAACAGACACAGTTATAATACACACATATTTTTAATCTTCAATCACAGATAAATGCAAAGCAGAGACCTATAATCCTAACAAAGCTTTTGTTAAATCTTTATTTTAAGGCCTCAAACATTTAAGTGTTAAAAACTGAAAACTTGACATTTTGAATTGATCAAAACTGGCCCCTAAAGCAGCCATAAGTAAATCCCACATGCTGACACAGACACACATACTCACAATAATTTTCATTGTTTGTATTCTTGAACCTATTTGACAGCTGCACAACAAAAGTAGTGCCATAAATAATTATAAGAGAACTGTATTATTGAGATTATCATTAATATTCTATGTGTTTATTCAAATGAAACGTGGTTTTACGTTCAGGTATTTGACTTGTTTTTATTTCATAATGCAGCTTTTTTTTGTTTGTTTTTTTCAGGCTGCCGCACAGCAGAGTTGTTTTTTGTTTTTGTTTTTAATATATATAACCAACGGACACATTGTTGATAATAAAATAGTGCTAAAACCCTCAAGACTTCTCTCTTTGATTTTGTTCTTTCAGTTCTTGCATTACAATCTGGAGTCAGTTAATTTTAAGCTCGTCTGTGACACTATTGCACTCATCAAGAGCAGAGAATTATTTTGGAGTTTTAATTATTTGACTTATTTAAGCACATTTGAGAGCAGGAGCTTCTTTCTTGGTCAACCCCCTCAGGCCATGGTCACCTGAAACTTACCTTACTGTGGACAGTGGCACTAGTGTTCCAACAGTTTCCAGTTCACTTGAAATATGATGTTTTCTAGTTGTGCCTGAATGTTCGTATCAGGATTCTGTAGTTTGGTAGAACCCATATGCAGACAGAAGCCGAGAACTTGGAGGTAAAATAAATAATATTATTTATTTAAAGAAAACTAGAGAAATTGCATTTCCAGCGAAAACGCTGTGCGAATGCTTATTGCTGTAGAACTTGATGAAAAACAGCTGAAACTAGAGAATTTGTATTTCCTGAGAAAATGTGTTGAGTGTGTTCCAACTACAGGGGGATCACGCTCTTAAGCCTCCCTGGTAAGGTCTATTTGGGGGTTCAGGAGAGGAGGGTCTGTCGGATAGTCGAACCTCGGATTCAGGAGGAGCAGTGCGGTTTTCGTCCTGGTCGTGGAACACTGGACCAGCTCTACACTCTCAGCAGGGTCCTGGAGGGTGCGTGGGAGTTTGCCCAACCGGTCTACATGTGCTTTGTGGACTTGGAGAAGGCGTTCGACCATGTCCCTAGGGGAACCCTGTGGAGGGTACTCTGGGAGTATGGGGTACCAGGCCCTTTGATATGGACTGTTAGGTCCCTGTATGACCGGTGTCAGAGCCTGGTCCGCATTGCCGGCAGTAAGTCGGGCTCGTTCCCGGTGAGAGTTGGACTCCGCCAAGGTTGCCCTTTGTCACCGATTCTGTCCATAACTTTTATGGACAGAATTTCTAGGTGCAGCCAAGGTTGTGAGGGGATCCGTTTTGGTGGCCTTAGGACCGCGTCTCTGCTTTTTGCAGATGATGTGGTCCTATTGGCTTCATCAGATCGTG